AAGATTAGGTTGAAGTTAATAAAAAAAGAAACCGAGTAGATAAACCAAAATAAGGTACTTAGGTACATACATACTAATAAAGAAAGAGAGAGGGAAAAGAAACAAAAAGAGAATCAATAATATTAATAAATCCTTAACCTTTAGTTCTTCATCATAACAAATTACAACGCATACGTAAAATTTTTGAGACCTACCGAAATTAATCACACCGACTTTATTAGATTAACGCCATCTAGTGAACGAAATACGATATCTATCACGAGAGTTATAAGTAGTGCAGAAAACGGCAGAAGTACAATGATAATGTGGAGAATAGTACCTACTGAAATACTGTACACCTACGTACTGACAATATAATCACACATCTTCGTCAACGACCTGCCTACCAATCCCTTTCACCCAAAACGGCCAAAACTCGAACATTTCATGGCCCGACTCCAAGGATTACAGGCCGAACAGTAACTATTACAATCGTAAAGTGCTTTAAGCTTCATTTAAACTATTCACGAACTGAGAATGTATTTGCACAAGGACATTTTGTGACAGAAACAGATAAACACGGATCTACGATCTCTATGGTGTTCGTAATGTGTTTGTCTGTCTGTTTTATGTGCACTTACGAGTGGAGAAGCGTAAAGTTTGTATGTTTTCTGTAATTATCAGTTTAATAGTGAAAACTATAACGAACAAGTTTCTGCTAGTGGTTACGTCAGCAATACCGTACTAGCGTAAAATGTATCTTATTCTTTTGTTACTTGGGGAAACCCATTGAATGCGCCTAGTTTTTGGGGAGAGACGCTAATTTGTGTCAGAATCTTACTTGATCCAAAACTACCCTTGTAGCCATCATAATCAGTAATACCTAACATAAGGGGCCTCGTGTCATATGTAATAAGTATACTCAGTAAGTATAATATTAGTAGTATTATCGTTCGACGCAGAAGGCAACCAGTTCCTCGCAGCCGGTTCACCCGCCGGTTGCGGCAGAACATCCGCCGAGGGCTGGGGAGGAGGCAACGGCCATGGACACCCAATAATGGCCCTACATCGTCTCCTCCAAGCCAACATAAACCATTGCGCCAGGGCTCAGGATCTCTTACTCCAGAGCATGGCGCAGTGGTCGATCGATGTCACAGCTGTCTCCGAGCCATACTTTGTGCCACCCAGGGATGACTGGGTGTGCGACACGAACCGCTCGGTGGCACTGATTATGAGGTCTGCCGCCGACACCCTTCCCTTCGAGGCCGTCACCCGAGGGCGGGGCTATGTCGCGGCAGTTTGGGGAAATGTTATGGTCGCGGGGGTATATTTCCCCCCAGCCTATTTCTTGCCGACATGGAGGATATTATCTCGGAACTGGGCACGGTCGTCAGTCGCAGCCATCCTCGTCCCGTGATCGTTTAAGGGGACTTCAATGCGAAATCTACGGCTTGGGGTTCCCCGGCTACGGATGCACGGGGCGAGTTAGTGGAGGAGTGGGCGGTCGAGCAGGGCCTGCTTCTCCTCAACCGGGGTTCCGTGCAGACGTGCGTGCGGCAGCGAGGTGGGTCTATAGTGGACCTGTCCTTTGCTAGCCCCACTCTCGCACGCACTGTCCAGGACTGGCACGTCTTGGAGGAGGTAGAGACGCTGTCTGACCATCGATATATTCGATTCAGCGTCTCTGCCCAGACCTCGGTTGGGCCGGTCCAAGCGACCCCGGTGGGCGTTGGAGATGGTCCGCGTTGGGCATTAAAGCGGCTGGACAAGGAGGCTCTCCTGGAGGCTTCTATTGTCAAGGCCTGGTTGGACTCTCCAGACAGGCCTAGTGACATCGACGATGAGGCAGAGTGCTTCCGGGAGAGCATGTCGCACATCTGCGACGCTAGCATGCCCCGAGTCCGGCCGCTACCATCCAGGCGCCAAGTATACTGGTGGTCGCAGTCGATTGCGCAACTACGCACCACTTGTGTGCAGGTGCGACGCCAGTATGCAAGGTTCCGAAGAAGACGTCGCCGCCCCTTTACAGCGGCGGCCGAACAGGAAGAGGCGGAACTGTACAACCACTACAGAGAGGCGAAAAGCGCTCTCCAGCTGGCCATTGTCCGGGCAAAGGCCCAGGCCAATGCAGAGCTGCTGAAGACTCTGGACCGAGATCCGTGGGGACGCCAATGGGCCCCCCCCACTGTCCCGGAGTCTCCAGCCGCAGCTGCTGGAGGAGGTGGTGTGTGGGTTGTTTCCGACAAGACTGGAGCACACACCACCGGCTATGGTTCCGCCTCATGATTCGCCCGACGCGGACAACGAAACAGACGACGACGTGCCCGAAGTGACCCGGGTAGAGTTGAGAGTGGCGGTGGCTCGCATCAAGAACACCGCCCCAGGGCCCGACGGCATTCCAGGCCGTGCATGGGTCCTGTCTATGAGAGCTCTCTGGCCCCGACTAGCGGGGCTCTTAAGCGCATGTTTGGAGCGGGGCCAGTTTCCAAGCCGGTGGAAGACCGGAAAGCTGGTCCTGCTCAAGAAGGCGGGGCGCCCCGCAGACTCTCCGTCTGCGTACAGACCGATCGTGTTGCTGGACGAGGTGTGTAAGATCTTCGAGCGAATCATCGCCGGCCGCCTCGTCCAGCACATGACCAGGGTGGGGCCGGATTTGGCGGACAACCAATATGGTTTCCGCCAGGGGCGCTCCACGGTGGACGCGATCATGCGCGTAAAGGTCCTGGCGGAGGAGGCAGTCGCCCGGGGCGAGGTGGTCTTGGCGGTGTCGCTCGACATCGCCAACGCTTTCAACACCTTGCCCTGGAGCACTATCCGAGAGGCGCTCCGGTATCACGGGGTGCCACGCTACCTCCAACGCATTGTCGGGGCCTATTTGTCGGACAGGTCGGTGGTGTACCCGGGTCGAGAAGGATGGGGTCGGCGAGAGACGTCGTGCGGCGTTCCGCAGGGATCGGTGTTGGGTCCGCTCTTGTGGAACGTTGGCTACGACTGGGCTCTGCGCGGTGCGCTACTCCACGGCGTCGGCGTCATTTGTTACGCCGACGATACGCTAGTTACAGCGCGTGGAAAGTCGTACCGGCAGGCGGCCATACGCGCGACTGCTGGTGTCGCGCACGTCGTGGGTAGGATCCGGCGGCTGGGCTTAGAGGTGGCATTGCACAAATCGGAGGCCCTGTGTTTTCATGGGCCGAGGATGAAGCCGCCTCAAGGATCCAGCATTATAGTAGGAGGGGTTTCCATCGCTGTTGAGTCCACGATGAAGTACCTCGGACTCGTTCTCGACAGTCGGTGGAATTTCGGGCCGCACTTTACACGGCTCGCCCCCCGGTTGATGGGCGCCGCTGCTGCGCTGTCGCGCTTGCTGCCCAACCAGGGGGGGGCCATCTCCTCCTGCCGGAGGCTCTACATGGGGGTCGTACGGTCGATGGCGTTATACGCCGCGCCAGTATGGACGGACGCCCTGACGGCCCGCAACATCGCCGCGCTGCGAAGGCCACAGCGCGCGATGGCCGTCAGGATAATAAGGGGATACCGTACGATATCCTTTGAGGCAGCGAGCCTCCTAGCCGGATCCCAGCCCTGGGACCTCGACGCAAAACTCCTCGCGTCGCTCTATTGGTGGCGCGCGGAGGCAGTCGAGCGGGGCGAGCGCCTCGTGCCTCGACAGGTTCAGGCACGCAGGGCAGAACTCCGCCAGGCCTTAATGGCGGAGTGGCAGACGCGTTTAGCGCAACCCACGGCAGGGCACGCCGCTATAGAGGCGGTAAGGCCCGTTCTAGAGGAGTGGCTCAATAGGAGCCACGGCGCCCTCAGCTTCCGGCTGACGCAGGTGCTTACCGGACACGGGTGTTTTGGGAAGTACCTGTGTCGCATAGGTCGGGAGCCGACGTCTCAGTGCCACCATTGTGGTGATTGCCGCGACGATACGGCGCTGCATACGTTGGCGGAATGCCCAGCTTGGGCCGAGCAGCGCCGTGACTTGGTCGCGGCCGTAGGTGCTGCGGGAAATCTCTCGCTTCCGGCTGTAGTGTCTACTATGGTCGGGAGCGAGTCAGGGTGGAGTGCCGTCGCTACCTTCTGCGAAGCCGTGATGCTCGCAAATGAGGCGGCGGAAAGGGAGAGAGAGGCTGCCTCCTCTCTCCCCTCCCGCAGCAGACGCACTAGACGTCGTAGGGTGGCCGACCTGCGGCCACCGTAGGGTGCGGCCTGCGGACGACAGACTCGGGGCGTCTTGTCGTCCGACCAGCAGCAGGCCTCGAGGCGGCGGCGCCGTGTTTCGCGCGCGCCTCATAATGGAGTCCTGCGGTCGGGGTGACGGCCGCAGTGGGTGACGGGGCCCGCCTAACCATCTGGCGGGCCAATACCCGTCGGGGGGATGCGACGAATGCTTCGGCGATACCCGCCCCTCCGACACATTGGTAAGTGGAGGAACACCGGGTTGGTTTTTAGTCAGTATGAGTCTGACAGTACCCTTCGCCCTTCCCCGAGGGTGGTGGGTCTCCATGAGGATTTTCCAACCCGACACCATAAAAAAAAAAGTAGTATTATCGTCAACACTTCATCAGCGACATTTAAACACAGATTGGTGGAATTTTTGAGCTAAGCAAGAAAGTTGAAGATTGCAGTTTAAAAGGTTCTAGTTAACGAGAGAGCGCTCCTGCTTCGTCCCTAGGTGATCGGGCCATACCCCACCGGCGAAAAGAGTAACAGTAAAGAACGATTAAGGAACTCTAGTTCGCCATCAAGCTTCAGCATACAACAATATGCAATAAGTCATCATTAGCCCACTGCTGGTCTCTGCTTACACGGACAAGGTATTGGGCAATAATTACTACGCTTACTCAATGCGGATTGATGATAACAACCTTAAATAAGGAATTATCGCGGGTCTGCGGACGGCGAGTAAGGGTAGCTCGCCGCCCGACCAGAACCAGACCCGAGCCTACGGCGCGTAGCGTTCCGCGCGCGCCCCAAAGAGCCAATAGACCACCACAGACGGGGCCCAATAGGGCTGATGTTCAGCTGGGGTTGCGGGGTAAGCGCAATGAGGCACCGCGATCATGGCCCAGAGCAGGAGAAGGAACGGGGGGGTTTTTAGTCAGTAAGAGTCTGACACTCCCTCCCGCCCGGCCCGGGGCGGGAGAAGTCATTGAATGATTTTCCCCTGAAAAAAAAAAATAATAAGGAATTATAACTCCAGATCTGTACATACAATGTTTTCCGACACCGTACCATGTCAAAGGTGTCTAAGTAAACTTAGAAAGTGGTATCTTATCTACATACACATTGTAGGTACCTATTAATATTAAGCTTCACATCGAAGCATATTTTTTTCCTAGACATAAAAGTCGGTATGTTTAAGACAAGAACGGGTTTGGCCCTAGGGATTTTACTGAAGATGGCGGCCTAAGATTTATACCCGATCGTCGGCATTGCGTCCTACATTTGGGGACAAAAGTGCGGATAAAATAAAATGTGGCAAACTGAAATGTCGTGTGCTAGGACTAGGAGCTGTTGAAGATTAAATAACGTAAGGTCAACGTAAAGGTTTTTATGGTACAAAATTACAAATACCGTCCAGTCACATATATGTATTTTTATAGTGTTGTAGTGTTCCTGTGTGGCAATTACTCTTCCCTGGGCGGTGGGTAAGAAGAAGAGCTATACAAGTTGTCTAGCTCTGTCTCTGACCCACACTGAAGTAAGATTAAAACAGTCTTACTTTGAAAGCCATTTGATGATTTACCCCTCACAAAAAAAATGGTTACCCCCTGTACCTACTCCCTGTGGTACCTTCGGCACAAAGGTAGACTAGTAGAAAATGCCTAAAGCAGTAAATCCGCCTATTGTAGTCAGTGTGTGCTTTTGTTGAAGTAGGTATTATATGTATAAATAAAAATAATTCAATATTATATACCTACTAATTTATACCCAGGCCCAGAATGACAGTGTCCAATAAAAAAAGTGAAAAAAATCGAATTCACGTGGACTGTGACACGTTCCACTGCAGTCAGTCAATTGTTCTTTGTCCAGCCGCTGCGTCAAAAGTGCAATCAAAGTTTTATAATCAAAATAATTGTATACAAAATTATTTTAATAAAAGCTTCATTCTTACCCAAATAAAAGTAAATTAAATATTAAAATCGAATAAACTATTCAATTAGTAAAGAGTTTAATAATGTAATATATTTAAAATATAAAAAAAATTGAAGCAGCTTCATAAATAAGTGTTCATTCATAAATTCATAATCAGAATCGAAACTTCAAAAACAACGATCCTCACTTGAAAATAGAACACGAGTGCCATAAACCAATCGACAACAAAAGGTACTACAACGAAGAACAAAGACTTTTTTCAAGCACTGAAGTACAGATGACACAAAAGTGTACGCACTACACTTATAAAGGAACTGTGTAAGGTGATTTATAGACCTCTCTCTTTCTCCCTCTGTCTGTCTCTCTCCCGCTTTCTTTTATTTGGAGTATTGCGATTTTGAATGGGCGATGCGGTGCAACAATAATTTTAGGTTCTTTGTTAATTTTACGACTGGACTACCAAGTTAGATACGCTGTGCTGTAGGCCGGTATGGATATTTTGAAGTAAGCGATAATACAGTAGCTGCGGTTCTGATTGTAAGTGACCAGCTGATCAGCATCGCCCATGGACAGACAAGAGCGGGAGAGTTAAGCTTCCAAAACCAGTGTATACCAGGCTTTTGGGAGCTGAGGAATGGTGGGAGTGGTTTGGGCCCCGATTGGCCTTTTTCTATCCTTTATTGCAGTGATCTTGATATCTAAATATTACATGTATAATCTCATCTTGAATTTTCACGATTTAATTTTCTTTGCTATAATGTTATAAAAAGGTAAAATCTGTATGTTTGTATGTAGGGGGCAATTTTCAATCTTCATGAGTGCTATAGACTTTAAATTATACTTGATTTGCGTATTTTAATCGAGCTATCGCTTGACATAACTTTTATACGCGTGCGAAGGTGCGGGCGGTAGCTAGAAATTGATATATTTTTTATTCTGTTATTGAAAACGTCGGTCATTAACAACATTAACGATTCTTGGTTTGAAAGAGATGCGAAATATCATTGTAACATACCTATGTGTTATGCTATTGAAGATCCTTAATCCTTCTAGGCGCCATCTTTAGATCTTAAGTCGTTGTGACGTCATATTGTCCTTATTGAGCTCGAAGACGGACAAATTTTAACGATCTCGACAGACATAGTAATAGGGTAGCCATAGAGGAAGCTAACAATGTAATTTGATGTGTCATTGATATAGGAATTATTGGACCCCTGTCTGATGTTGTTATGAGAGAATTATTGGGAATTATTAATGATCTAGGTACGGTAATGGTCAGTTATTGAAGTTTATGTTTAAGTATTCTGATAGTAGATAGGTATTGTAGTTTCTCATGTGTAGGTGAATTGTATTAGAAAAGGTAATATTAACAGATATTAGGATTTAGAAACTGTTACTTTAACTATCATTAAATAGAAAATATGCAGGTACCTATATTTAGTATTCTTTAAGTACAATCGAGTTTACAGAGTGGTTTTTAATAATATTTTTAATAGTTTCGAGATATAAATGATGAATTTAGTTGCGTTTTTTAGCCATGACGTTTGATGTTTAAACTATCAAATAGCAGAACTTTAACTTACCTTCATCAAATATGAATCCTCAGTAAATTTACGCCTAGTAAAATGGAATGTTACTTATTACACTGTGACAAGATTTTGCTCTAAAAAAAGCACTAGGCGCCAAATAAGCTTCGCAATTTTCCGATTTCAGATCACGTAGACAGAATTTTCGGAACGTATTAGTGAAATTATGAGAATTGGAACAATTCTAAGTAATTCGGTTTGGTTCACGTGTTTCATTTGGGTTCTATAAAAGAAAATATTTTTGGATTACAAAGATAACAAAGCTTATTATGCTAACAGTTATGTCTGTAATTACTTAGCTAAAATCAAATGGTTTGTCCGGTTATATCGTTCTTTAATAGAGAGGCATAAATAAACTTTATTTTAATATATAAAGATTACTTGATTTCGAAGACAGTATCTTATTAAAAGTTGTAAGGACAATATCAAAAAAATCCTTCCAAAGTGATGACGTGAAATTTTTCTTTAATATTAACCTATCATTCATCTTCCAACCACTATTAATATTATAAATAAACTTAAAGCTCCGCACTACCAATAGAATGCACTTAATAAAAAGAATGAACATAAAAAAAAACTAGAATAAACAAACAAAAGCTTTTAACCAAAGACAACAATAATGATCGCTAGTACCTCCTTTCATAGTGTCAGACGGATTGCAAAACAGTAACAAGTACTTGTCTATTGTTGTATAAATATAATGAGTATCTTTGACTCTTTGTATAAATACACAATGCGGTGTGAAGACGAGATATCCTTCATCCGGTACCCCGTAGAGTTTCCGAAATACCGAATTTTGTTTGTCGAGATTTGAACTACGAATTGCTCGAGGTGTCATTTTTTTTGCTTGTAGGTATATCTTTTTGTGTGTCTCAAAATAATTGGACAGGATATTAGAGAATGTTTTTGATCTGCTTGTTCTTTTTAGATCGTTTGTTCAATGGGATTTAAATGAATGTGCATAAGTTTATTAAAATAAAAAATATGCAATGAACACAAAGGTCAAAAACAAGAAGTAAGGAACTAACAAAAAAGAAACGAACTACCTAATACCTAGATTTTTATTGGGTTGATAAAATTCTTTACATTTATTATAAAAATAAAAGAGGTAGGTAATCATTAATTTATACTAAAACACAGCACAAATTACCAAGTCAATTTCATGAAAACGTGTTCTCAAATAATATTTACCATTAACGCCTAACAAAATTGTTCGAGCAACAAAAATTATATTAGTCTTTTTGCTTACCGAAATACTATAGGCATTGTTGGCTACACAAAAGTTTTACCTACGTTCAGCCTACATAATTAAAGTACGTGTGTATCGTATTCATATAAAGTGGATGTGATTTCAATTCTATTTTTCTTTGTTAGCAATGTTTAGTGTTTACTGTTTACATTATTGCCTTTTTATTATAAAAATATCAGTTATAATGTTGTTACTTTTTAAGTACGTACACGTGGAAATTTTTATTTTTTTTCGGGATAAATAACTTCTCAAACACATGGGACTTTTAAAATAAATGGCAAAAAAATGAATCAATACCTACCCTTTTAGATGTTAATGGCCGTCCAATCACACCACAGACAAGCGAATATAAACCAATATATGTAGTTCATTAAGCCTATAGATAGTTTAATGAATCAGATGAATGTAGGCGTTCTGGCTCCGGCCGAAACCGCTTCGTAATCAAAACGTTTTTTGAATACTGACTACCGAACGGGACGGGGATAGATCGATAGTAGGTGCCTTTGTTCAATTAGATAGTGAGGCTATATAGCATTTATTACATAGTATAGTAATGTATTATGTAAGTTTATTTCATCGTTGAGGCTCGGAGGTTAAGGCGCCCGCTTCTTTTGAGGGTTCGAAACTTAACAGTGCGACATTTTCGAATTTTATTACGAAACCTGTTAAATGTGGTGAAGATGACACTCTGGACACGTGTGAAAACCTGGGCGATTTATTATGATTAACAAATTTTTTTTTATGTGATAGTTTGGCAAGCGAGCAAGCGGATTACCTGATGTAAGCAATCAGTGCCACCCATTGGACACTCGCAACAATAGAGAAGTTACGAGTGCGTTGTCGACCTTTTGGAGATTTTGGGGTTTTGGAGATAAGGGATTGGGGGAGGGGAAGGATTGGACCTCTGGTAACCTCACTCACACGGCGAAACACAACGCTGTGGTTGTTTCACGCCAGCTTTTTGTGAGGATGTGGTGTCACTCCGCCCGAGTCATAGAATTTTTTTTCTCTATGGCCCGAGTTCCATTTGTGCTGAAGTTGGCTCTCCCACACTTAGAATATCTCATTAATTATGAGTTGGAAAAAGCTAATCTACTTTGAGAAAACGCAGTGTTTAATGCTCAAACTATCTCCTTGTGAAAAGAGGTCCTTGGTTAGCAGTGGGCACTTGAAGATTGTAAAGGCAGATGAATTGATACAAAGTATATTTTGTTCATCATTCATCATCAGCCTATAAGTGTGCCCACTGCTGAGTAAAGGCCTCTTCTCATACGGAGAAGGTTAGAGCATTAATCACCACGCTTGCTCAATGCGGGTTGGCGATTTCAAACTTATAATTAGAAATTATAAAGTCCAGGTTTCCTCACGATGTTTACCTTCACCGTATGTCAGTAGTGTCTAAATAATCATAGAAAGTACATATAGGTAACTCGGAAAAAGTCACATTGGTACTTGCCAGGTTTCGAAACCACACCCTCATGCATGAAAAGCGGGTTCCTTAACCTCCGGGTCACCACCACATGTTGTTAAACATACATATTTTGTTGTCTATCGTTATTCCCCAGGCAGGCAGAAGTATAGCCGTGGTTGCGAATGCAAACGCAGTAATGTACCAGACTCGAGCAGGAGGAGAAACGACGTGGTTTTATGTAAGTAAGGGTCTAACACTCTCTTCCGCCCACCTGTCGTTTCGAGACGTGATTTGACGAATTTTCAACCGCGGAAAAAAAGCCTGAGTCGCTAAGTCGTGGTTCAAAAATAAAAAGGATGTGGTCATGAAGCAAACAACCCGGGATTTTGGCTTCATGGATGCAGTGGACTGGATGATAGTACCTGACTTGAGGGAGCCTTTTGCTTTTCATATAGTTCTAATTACTTTCATGAAGTTCCATATCAACTGACAGTAACGTGTTGAATACGTAACAGGCTAGACAAAACAATAGTTGGTCCTATTTAGACCTCGGTTGCGTGACGTCGCGATAATATGGAGTCTATGAACATAGGTAGAACATGACATCCATGATGTAGACAGATATATGTACGAGATGAGGTTTTAGAGATTTAGGGGAAGGATAGTGGAGGAAAAGAATTACCAAGGCCTCCGGTAACCTCATTAACACGGCGCCACAGAACGCTAAAGTGTTTCATGCCAGTTTGTTGTAAGCCCGTGGTATCACTCCGGTTGAGCCGACCCATTCGTGCATGGTTCTCCCACTGTTACAAGAATAAATATTTTAGACATAAAAAAATCTGATAAAAAATATCACTAAGCGGTTGGATTATGTACCGACTCCAATTTAATTGGAAATAGGTACCTATAACCAAAAAATAAGCCCAATTTGAATACTCTGACATTTAACAGAAACCTATCTAGGTTTAAATATAGTTAAACTTCCACCTCTACTAACTATATTTAGAATTTAAACTTTCTAGAAAATGTACGGAACAGAAATATTTGAAATATGAGGTTTAAATTTGGCAGAGCGTAGGTGGAAAATTTAAGACTTACCTAAATTGGCTCAAATTCTGTAATAGACTGTTAAATAATGGCGAAGTTTAATTAACTAGTTTGTTTGCTTATTGTTTCGTTTTTAGTTCACTACGTACCGGAGACGCATATTACGGCAAAGCAAAAAGGAGTATTAAGATTTCTACATGCATAAGTACTTGTGTAGCAAGCGCAATGATGCGTGGCCTCAGCTTATAGCAGGATATGGAACGGAATGGTTTTTATCTAGGAAGAGTCTGACATTCTCAGAAAACTCTTTTGATGATACAGCTCCTAAGACATCCTAGGAAGATTAACAGAATAGTAATAAATGTATATTATATTCTTAAGTACTGTTTTTAGGTTGAAAAATCATCCGATTAGATACTTCTCCCGCCCTGTGTGGAACGAAAGCTTGAGACTTTTAATGCCCAAAAATCGACCAGTTACTTCTCCGGGCGGCCATAGTTCATTGCGCTTCCATCCGTAACCCTGGCTGGACATCGTCCTTAGTGGTGGTCTGATTGTTGCTGTATAGGACATGAGCGGAACCCGGCGCGCGGTTCTCTATAGTATAGTTATGATCAGAAGGTCAGCTACTACTGCTCGCCGTCCGCAGACCTGCGCTTGCGGTTGCTAGAGATCGTTGTGCAAGCCCGGAATGTAGAGAGAGAGAGATCTATCACGCGTTCCGTCTCCTTCTTTGCGAGAATAACTGCTTCGCAGACAGAGAACATGGCTTTCCACTCGCTCCGCACCATAGTCTTGACTAACACCTGGAGTGAGGCTATGAAGTCTATGCGGAATGTGGACGTACGCTCGGGTATTAATGTTTAGTATAAGTAATCGGCTGTATAAGTAGGTAAGTGGTAAATAAAGAATAGCAGCCTATAGATATAACATTGTTAGCATAACTGATAATAACTTCGCAGACAGAGACAATGGTTTCCAGTTCCTCTCGCTCCGCAACATGGCCTCGACTAAGTCCTCGAGCGAGTCTCATATGTGGTGGTATCATGGCTTTATGAGGAGCAGGTAACACATATTTAATTGGCTTGTATAAGTAGCAAATCAATAATAGCAGCCCATATTACATTGTCCACATTTCAAGTACTACCAGTGTAATGAAAATTTTATTTTATTAGCGTGTACTTGTGCACGTCGCCATTTTTATTTGGCCTAAACTTAGTTGTAGACTGCAGTACCGCAGCACTATTTTTATTTAAAATCCAGGCTTTATTTCGACGCACGCCATTTCGTATTTCGAACGGATTTTTGTTGGAAATCGTACCTATACAGTTAACAAAGTGGGTTTTTTATTTTTTTTTAGATGTTTCGAGATTTAACTTGATTGTATTGTGTTTGTCAACAAATTCTTTATGAAAATGTTATAAGGTACAAAGCCTCCTTTGTCATTTAGTCAGTCTTATGACACAGCAAAAAATAAATAGAATTATTAGAAATATTTGTAAGTTGTGAACTATTTTTTTTTTTGTAATATATCGGCAAACGAGCAGACGGATTACCTGATAGTAAGTAATCAGCGCCGCCCATGGTCACCCGCAACGTAGGAGTTACGAGTGCGTTGCCGACATTTTAGGGATTAGGGATTGAGGGTGGGGAAGGATTGGGCCTCCGGTAACCTCACACACACGGCTAAACTAAACGCTGTGGTCGTTTCACGCTGGTTTTCTGTGAGGCCGTATCACTCCGGTCGAGCCGACCCATTCGTGCCGAAGCATGGCTCTCTCACACTTAGAGTACTATGAGATAGATTTTATGACTAGATTTTATCATCAGCCTAAAGTGTTCACTGCTGAGTTAAGGCCTCTTCTCACACGGAAAAGGTTTGAGCATTAATCACGCGCTTGCTCAAGGCCAATTGTCGATTTCAAACTTCGAATTAGAAATTATAAGTTCAGGTTTATACTGATGACAAGAAACCGTAATAACATTTATCCTAAACTCCGTAGTCACAATGCAAAAACCACGAACAGTATGAAGGAGGAGTGTCTAATTAATAAAGTTTTAAACTTTCTAAGTAATTCTCGAGTTCCAAAGAAAATGACTTCAGAGAATGCCGGTGGAACTTGAAAACCTTGTTTACGAGACAAACGAACATTTCTATATTAATATTAAAGTTGATTGTTATGAGTACCGGATAAAGTGGTTCTCTGTTTATTAACGTGGTGAATTTGTATTAAAATTTAAAGCAAATTTAATTATTTTGAAATTACAAATATTATGTTTCTTAAGGCTTTCTCTCATGGGGATAGATGTCTGCACTTCTGCATTTAAACAATTACGGTACCGGTGTCGCGGGTGCAGGCACAATGACCGCTCTCGGAGCGAGACTAGGAAAACGGGGTGGTTTTTCGACAGTAAGGAGTAATACCTCTCTCTCTCTCTCTCTCTCTCTCTCTCTCTCTCTCTCTCTCTCTCTCTCTCTCTCTCTCTCTCTCTCTCTCTCTCTCTCTCTCTCTCTCTCTCTCTCTCTCTCTCTCTCTCTCTCTCTCTCTCTCTCTCTCTCTCTCTCGCTTCTTCTTCGATTTTTAAACTGATAGAAATCCATAGCGTTCAATGTAAAACTTTGCTGTCAAAGTGCAAGTCAAATAATTTCTTTTACATAGACTAGTATAGACACTTTTGAACGTCAAACAAAACAATTAAAAATCAAAAAGTTTGGCTTCATGTGTATCAGTCTGACGGTCTGTCCTCTAGTGAAGCTATTTGCTCGTTCCAAAGTGTAGATACCTATGAAGAACAAGAAATTTCATGCTGAGTAAAGGAGAGTCGAAGAACTCCTCGATCGAAGTGATATCATGGCCTCATAGAAAACCGCCCGAATGTGTTTCACGTGTGAGGTTACCAGAGGCTCAACCCTTAGGTCAAATTAAAAGCCAAAAAAAATTGTTCCAGCTGAAGCCAATACCTTAAAATCTCCAAAACAGAATAATAGACCGTCACGTTTGTTCGTCTGTAAAACTCGATCCGAAGTGTAGATTCATATGGAGTATAGAACCGGCAAGAAATTCGATTACGACCCCCTTATCCACACTCCTCAAATCCGCAACCCCCAAAAGGTCAGCAATGCACTGGTAACCCCTTTAGTGTTGGTGACCATGGCAACGCCAATTGCTTACCATGAGAAAATAAATAAGTCTTTTTGTTTGCCGCTTTATCCTATGAAAAGCGGTTGAAAATTAACCAATAATCACCTAGCTTTGTCGGAGGCTCTTTTCTTTTCCATACATAAGGAAAATCACATACTTTGCCCTAAAGGTAATCATCATCATCTTCAGAAGACGGCGACTAAATAAAGTTATCCTCTTTAGTACTTACGATTCATAATGTCATAGATTTAGCTTAGTGGAGACCAACCTATCATTTGAACTATTCATACTAGTACCAGCTGTTTTTCGCGGTTTCTACAGCGCTGTGAGAGGAAAACTAGCCTATCTATATAACTCTACAGCTTTTTAAAACTAGCCTATATAACTCTACAGCTTTTTGAAGGACTCCATTAATGCAAACATATATTGAGTTTTCAAAAATTCCAATAGCATTTTTTTTCTAATTGGAGTCTGTTATTGAACCCTATAACGTTCCTCCGGTAATCTTCACTCCGAACAAAATCTCTGCAGATTAAACAAATTTAAGTCTGGAAAAGCCACGTTTCGGCACGAATAGTTCGCTCCACCGGAGTGATAACATAGCCTCACAGAAAATCGGCGTGAAACAACTACAGCTTTGTTTCGCTGTGTGAGTGAGGTTACCGGGAGACCAATCCTTCCTATCCTCCAATCCGTAAATCTCCAAAACCCTAATCCCAAAAATATCGGCACTCATTGTTGCGGGTGTCTATGGGTGGCATCGAATGCTTACCATCAGGTAATTCACGGCTATCACGTTTACGTCTTATCAAATAAAAAAAAAATACATTCCCATTAATTAATTCGCACCGATTTCCGAACGTCAGTCTTACCGATAGCAAGATTCCTTTGTCCCAGGTATTTCATCTGTCTTTTAAGGTCGTCATCGGGATATTTTAGGGTCGCGTCAATACTACCTTCGCAGTCCATTTCCCATTGTACGTTAGGGTCCATTTTTCATTTGGACCCGAAGGCTGAATATCTCGAAATCCGATAGATCCGTTTTGATGAAAATATCACAGGGGAAAATGCTTTCAGTGATGTAGCCTCTGAATGGCGAAGAAAGTGTTTATAGACTTGTGAAACGATGTTTGAAGGTATATTTTATGTTGGTTTTTATACCTATTGTACCTATGGAAAAATATTATTGGGATTTACGTTAAGCCGTCTCTCCCAGTTTGACATACAAATATCTGTGGCAGTTGTTATAGATTTCAAGCTTCAAAATCTGACAATCGTTTATTAGTTATTTTGGTTCAGTCATTCGAATATACAATTTTTATTTTAATATTTAAAATAAAAATGTATACCTACAGTAGGTTAAAAAGCCTGGGTCTCGTTTGTAGCGAGAATCGAAATTTAAAAATCGAAAATCGAATAAACTCTAGCTTTTTAACGTGTCCATAAATAAATTAAGATATATTTTTTTTTAAATCCAGAATTCAGCGTTTCGTAGAAATGAATGTGTATGAGGTGTGACGTGGTAGGTGGAAAAAAGTTACGAAAAAATAATATTGTTTTAGATAATTTGAATAAGCTATTCTTTGTATACAGCACTGCACCAACCTTACACCCATTATGAATGTAAAGCCACGAATTTTATTAATTAAAAAAAAAATGTGACAGCATTAAAAGATTCGCTTGTGACCGCAGCCATTGCTGAATCATAATAAAGGATTTAAGAATAAATTTTCATAAAATTCAAAGCTAATTTTGTGTCCAAACGCCCTCTAAAAGGTGAAGCGAAAGTAAAACCGAATACGTACCTCGTCATGGGTGATCGCCGTCATCCATATATAGCCTGCACCCTTTGATGTACTAATTAACCTTAGCAAAAATGTTCACGGCACACGATTACGCAATTAATTTGCTATTTTTGTTTTTGTTCGCAAAAGAGGACCGGGGCAGATATCGCCCGGGACTGTTGTCATGGAAACGGGGGGTGCTGTCGGCGCGCGCCGCGGCAAAGCGGCAGAAGTGACCTCGCGTTTGCCGTGTTCGCCGCGTCGCGTATGCCGTCCTAAACCGTTTTTTCACGGAACGAGAACATCTCGTGCGTAATGATACACTCCTTTGACGACTAACCTACGTTGTTGTGCTGTTTACATCGAAACTTGTGGTGTTCCACGTGTGTTTAGTGTTTGAGTGTGTGCGATGCATTAGTTGGCGTGCAATGTTGAGAGGTGGTGGGACGTGTCTGTGACCGGGGCAGCTGCACGGGAGGGGCGATTTTCACGCTTGATCATGCCTTTCGAATTGAGATCAGGTGAGCTTTTCAGGAATTTCAAGCGCAAACGGCTGTGCTTAAGGACCATTTTTGATTGTACTGTGCAAGGGTTACAGCTTCGGGCATGTGCAATGTCATCGGTACGCTCGCGTTCGATGTAAGTGAAAATGAAAGTTATGCAGTACGGTTTGACTTTATTAAACTATGTCGGCCGTGAAAATCCTGCAGTGTTACATCCACGTGGTTATCAATCAGCTGCAGTTCGATTGATGAGCGTTTTTGACATTTATGTTCGTGCTGGAATATTATTTCGTGTCACACTTTCTGCCAGCCATATATATCTACCTATATGTACTATATATTGAGCCGATACACAATGAAGGTATCCAAAACAAGAGTCATGTGTAATTCAAACGTTACCAAATTAACAATCACGCAACCAGGAATGACCTAGTTTCGCAAAACCAACTGTTTTCATTATTAAACTACCTAAATAATGTTATGTAATTCTCTAGTGGTTTGCAACCTTGAATGCTGAATAAAAGGAGGATTTTTCAGGGATGTCCTCTGGGATTTTCAGGGTTTTCAAGGTCTTTGTACCCTTGTATATTCAGAACAGGTTTATTGTAGGCTTTAGAGGGAGACAGCGTCAGGTATCTGTCAAATATCTGTACTACGGGAAGGTTTCACTTGATGAGGGCTTTCAAAAAAAGAACGATAGAGGTCTTGCTTGTTCTTTTTCGTATGATTAAAATTTTAGAAGGAGCACCTACTAAGCTTTCTTGTTCTTTAGGGAAGCTAAGTGTAGCTAGATGCTTGCAATTGATAGAAAATTCTATTGTGGGTAATACACAAAAGATCCCTTAAAGTAAATTACTTCAAAAAGACACTTTAGCTCAAGTACAAGGTAAAGCTCACTCATCCTAGAAAATACAGTCCTCAAGTTTTCTATTGATTTCTATCAACAAAGAAAGAAAATTAGACATAATATCGTAAGGTTGGGTTATAGGAAAACCAGCTTTATTGAAATAGGATTGTAGTTGATAATGTGACGTTGTTAGCGTGCACATGATTTACAATCACTACATACGGTTAACCCTATTTGCATTGATAATTGTATTTCCCTATTGAGCTTGAGTTTCTTGTACATTATCTAATAGATGTGTCAGCATACAATACATAATAAATACTATGAAAGTATATGTATAGATACTATGTTTATAAGCATAGTTATATAGGGTTTTTATTGATTGTAACGTTTCAAGTTGGTTTCTTTAAAAGGATTCCTTATAAGGAATATTGATGTTGTAACAAAATATATAACATATATATATGTATATGACTAAAACCATAACGCAGCGTCGCCTCCCCTCACTTAAAAATAAACAAGAACGACAACAGCTTTTAATATTTATGAAAAGGTCTATCAGACTTCCAGAGACAGATAATCAAGGCTAATGCCTATCTGGGTTTCTGGATGCAAGCGCAACGATGTATCGTCACGGAACAAGAGAAGGAATGTAGTAGGTTTAAGTGAGTAAGAGTTTGATGTTTTTTTTATGCGATAGGACGAATTACCTGATGGTAAGCAATCAGCGTTGCCCATGGACACCTGCAACAGCGGAAGAGTTACAAGTGCCTTGTCGATCTTTTGGGGATTAAGGATTTCGAGATTTAAGGATTGGGGAAGGATTGGTCCTCAGGTAACCTCACTCACACGTCCAAACACAACGTTGTGGTTATTTCACGCTGGTTTTCTGTGAGGCCCTGGTATTACTCCGGTCGAGCCAACCCATTCGTGCCGAAGCATGGCTCTCCTACTCTCAAAGCTTCTTCTCATATTGCCATTGGACTGTTTGCGTTCATATAAAAACTTCAAGCAAAAACTTTAGCACAAATTAGAAGATTTAAAATGTCTGGCATTTTCCCAACTAGGTTGTGTTGACCACTTTTTGTGTTGACCACCGAGTTAGTAAAAGTCGGTTAAATGTCAGCTCTTTTGGGGTGCGAATGTCGTGTCCTTTACAACTTGTCTGGGATGATATGACATCTTATTACGCCCAAATGTTTTTGCCTGGAACAATTTATAAAGCAGACAAACTGGAACTTAAAGACTTAATAATAATGGAAGGAATGGATGTTCATTGGAAGAATTGTTATCAACATTTTTCAGTGTCTGATCATTAAATACTA